ACCCCAAACCACCAGAGAACCAAATACAGAACAAAATACCGGAGCTAAACCAAAGACATCGACCTTGTCTCTGTTGTTGACCAGCAGTCACCTCCTTCACTCTATCAATATCACCATCAGGATGAGCCCAGTCTGAGCTCTCCCTGAATTGCAGCTGGACTGCACGCCAGGTGACTCTCCCCTTGAAGAGCAGGGACACCACTCACAGTTTCAGACTCCTTACCTGAGACTCAGAGATCCTTCCCTACCCAAGGCGGGGAGATCCCTTGCTCGCGACAGATCCTCAGTAAGTGACTGTTTGCATGCTGAATTAATACTGGTGAAACATTGCTCACCGCTGCAGCCACTCAATAGTATTATAAACTGTGCATAGGTAATTCCATTAGGCATAAGCTGTTGTCCCAGTCTGAGACTAAGACTGGACCTAGCCGCACCTAGGCTCCATAAGGAGTTCAGAGAACAAGGGGGTCCGCTCTGGACCTTGTGAGTCAACGGGAGGGCCCTCCTTACCCTTTTTCATGTCTGGTCTCTGTGTGCATCATTCTAACTCGATTCTAACTCAATTCTCCTTTGTATCTTTCTCCCATTCAGTCATTAATAAGGTGAGCCTTGCTGTCAAACTTATGGAACCTTGTCAAACCCATGTTAAATGCTGTTCAGTTTCACCAAATTTATTGAACTCTCTCAAATGATTATTTTACCTCAGTAAAGCATATTGCTGCTTCTCTCTTTTGAGTGAAGTGCATTACACTCACCTGTGACACCCACCTACCCATGAGCCTTTGCCTTCCCACACACCCTACTAGAAGAGATTAAGCTGGAGGTGAGGTTATCTACCTCGTAGGACAATTGAGAGTGCAGGGGAGCTCAGGAGGTCTTGAGTCCAATCCCCACTCACCTGCTTTTCCTCCCTCTCCTCTCAAAGTGACCACGCAATGGGAAGAAGGGAAGCAGAAAGGCCTTAGGCCTCTGTGAATCAGCTGGGCTCTGGCACCTGGAGGGCGATGTTGCCATTTTGTTGTACACCCCATAAAGAACCAAGCTGGGAAGTGAGCCTGCAAGTGCGAATCCACAAGATCCATGGACAGGCAAGGCTGTGTCTCTGGCTGTGACTGGGGACCAGTACACCTGCAGCCTAGATGAAGCTGGGGCTGAAAGTGGGCTTCAATGGTCTTGTGGGTCCATGGAAGAGAGGTGTGGGAGGAGGCTGCCGGTGAGGCTGGGAAGGGCCATGAAGGCCTCTGGATGCTCTCAGGGCCCTGACACTGCCCCATGGGATCCCACCTGCCAGTGCCCTCAGGAGGCCAAATTCTCATCCCCTGATGTGCCGGGTCTGTGTTCTGCTAGTGTCCTTCCCCATGTGCCCGGGGATCTGGGAGAGCACAACTCTCCCAGGTTGTCACTACAGACAAGGCCGGCACTGGTCTTCTGTCCTGGTTTCGGCTGGGATAGAGTTAATTTTCTTCAGAGTAGCTAGCACAGTGCTGTGTTTTGGATTTAGTACCAGAAGAATGTTGATAACACACTGATGTTTTCAGCTGTTGCCAAGTAGTGCTCAGACTACTCAAGGACTTTTTGAGCTTCTCCTGCTGCTCGGGGGGGTTAGTTGGTCGGTCGGTTGCAGGAAGAGTGATCGCGGCTTGGGGGGTGATCGCAGCTCAGGACGGGCTGGGCATCGGTCGGCGGGGGGGGGGGAATTGCATTGTGCATCATTCGTTTTGTATATTCTGTATATTCTGTTATCATTCTCATTATTACTATTATTATTATTTTCTCTTATTAAACTGTCTTTATCTCAGCCCTCGGCTCTAACCTTTTATTTTCTTTCCGATTCTCTCCCCCATCCCACTGAGGGAGGGGGGAGTGAGCGAGCGGCTGCGTGGTGCTGAGTTGCTAGCCAGGTTAAACCACGACATCTTCACATCCCTGACCAGCTCTTCCTCTTTTGGGAGTACCAGATCCAAGTGAGCAGAAGAGCAGCCCATTTAAAAGCTGACCCTCACAGAAGCCCACCTAACCTGTTGCCTACGCCTTTGAGGAGAGATCTGTCCTTCCTCATGTGGGCTCTTATTCCACCGAAGTCGCAGGTCTGGGATGGCCCATGGGACTCCTGCAGTCTGTGTCCCAGGCTGTGGACTTTGGTGCCCATTTGGGTGGCAGCACCTCAGATGTGGCACCAGGGGCAAGAGCAGATTTGTCACATGGAAGCCTGGTATTAAAAGATTGGACCCCATGTGCAGAAAGGCTTTGCTTGCCAGCAGAGGCATTCTGGAGTGCATGGCAGGTGGCAGCATCACGATGAATGGAGCTCCCACAAAGACAACAAAAGCTGCAGTGCCCAAGGCCGGGGAGACACAGGCCAGGGCTATGCATCCCTGGCAGAAAAGGGCTTTGCTGTCCCAGGTGACTCTGTAGCACTGTGTGGGGCCTGTGAGAGGGGTAGAGCTGATCTCCAAGGACAAGGTGGTGCTGTGAAAGTCCCTAGGAGAGGGCAGCCTGTGATCCAGCCACACAGTGGACATCATTCTGGGGGCTGACCGGCTGGATAGCAGCTCTGCAGGGAAGGATCTTGGGATCCCAGAGGACGACAACCTGAGCATGAGCCATCAAGGCACCCTTGCAGCAAAGGCCAACAGCCTCCTGGGCTCAGTTAGGAAATGGCAGATGGAGGGAGGTGACCCTTCCCTTCTACTCAGCACTCATGAGGCCACATCTGGAGTGCTGTTTCCAGTGAAGGGCACCCCCGTGCAAGAAAGTTGTTGACCACCAAAACCTGAAAAGGACCACAAAGGTGGTTTAAGGGACTGGAGTATCCTCCATAGGAGGAAAGGCTGAGAGACGTGCGACTGTTTGGTCTGGAGAAGAAAAGGCTTGGAAGGATATTATGAGTATATATATATAAAATGTCACCTGAACATCAAAAAGAAAAATCTTTTTGACAATGAAGGTGGTCAATCACTGGAACAGGTTGCCTGGAGAGGTTGTGGCATGTCCATCCATGGACACATTCCAAACCCACCTAGACAAGGTCCTGAGAAACCTGCTCAAGCTGATCCTGCCTCAGCTTGGGGGTTGAACTACAGGATCTCTGGAGGTCCCTCCCAATCTCAACATTTCTTTGATTCTGTGAGTATAAAGGAGAATTACTTTGTCTTTGCCAGTGACAGCATTTGGTGAGTGATCTCCCTGTCTTTATCTTGACCCATGAGATGTTCTGATTTATATTCTCCCTTTGTCCTGTTGAGTCAGGAGAGTGCATGAGCAGCTGAGTGGTTGTCTGGCTGCTGGCCAAGGTTAGCCCACCACAGGACCACATCAGAACTGATGTGTCCAGTACGGGCTTCCCAGCACAAGAAAGTCCCTGACAGACTGGACTGAGTCCTGCAGAGGCCAGAAGGATGGTTGGGGCCTGGAGCATATTAGGGACGAGGAAAGGCTGGGGTTTTGAGAAATCCCTCAGAGCCAAACACTGGAGGAAGGACCCAGGCCAGTTGGTGGGATCTCAGTCAATGAACTCGCTTTATATTTGTCAAGAAAAGGCCATGAACACCTGATCGAGCTGGAGCTGTCTGAAAAGAGATTGGCTGAGAGATCAACTGTGGCAAGAGCTATGGGCTTTGGTGTGTAATGAGGGCCAGTAGGAAACTGGTTGCCTTTTGATTGGTCATGGAAGTGGAGTTGGGTATCAGTGAGCCCCAGAGGAGGACAGGGGTGGCCATGCAGCAAAGGTCCCTCCTCAGGGCTGGGGTGTCTGGCCGGAGATGGAAATGGCCAATGTGTGGGACTGATCTGGGACAGTTTTCCTGGTGCAGCTTCCCCGGGGTGTCCAGGGAACATGGCACAGACCAGGCCCCTCTCTTCTGCTCATCTGATGCCTTGTTTCCTTCACTGTGTCCCTTGGCTCTGCACCGTGAGTGCTGGCTGCCCCTACCCTGCACACTCACACAGCTCAGATCTACACTGGAGTTTTTCTCTCCCCAGGCTCCTTCCAGCACAGCCCAGCCCCTCCCCAGCTCTCCCCACCTCCCCTGCCCTCTCCAGACCCCATCCCAGAAGAGCAGCCCAGTCTGGGATGGCCCCACAGCAGAGCCCACTTCAGAGTGCTGCAGAGCTCTGGTCACTCACCCCACAGCCCCAGCCCCTCTGAAGGGCACAGCAGCTGCTGGGGGGGGAGGGGGGGCAGAGAGTGGGCTTCAGGCTCCCCATCAGCCCCATGGTTGATGTGGCCCCAAGGGCATGAGCAAGCAAGATACTGAGATCTCCTGAACTCAGTTTATAGGTGATCCCCCACACCAACTGCGTTTGCCCCCTCCTCTGCTCCCACAAGGCCCAGTCTCCATGACAGCACCAGAGTCCTGGCCCCGGGCGTCCTTAAACAGCTCCTGAATCTCTCCAGTCTTCTCTCCCTCTGCCTGCCAAGTCCCTGCTGGCTCCCATGGCACTTCAGTGTCTTTGTTTGTGAAGACCTCGATTTAGTGCTTTCTCTTTGCGGGACTTCATGTCTGAGGGTGTTTCACCTTCCAAGTCTCCATACCGCTAACTCCAGGGCACGTGGTGCGTCCTCGTTCTCTCCACACACCTCAGAATTTATTTCAGTTGTATCCTGCCGTACATGAAGCAAACTGAGGAGATAATGGAGATCTCATGGACTAATTCCCTTGACATTGGACAACAAGAACAGGGTTTTTAAATCCAGAACTTTTGAAACCAATGGTTTCATGAGCTTAACCCAAAAGCAACGAGAACAAAAGGAGAAGAGAAACATTAATGGATGAATTCCACAGACATTTTTTCGGAAGCAGTTTTGGAGGAATAGCCCAACCTTCAGGTACTCACACAAGGGATTCCCTTTTAATGAAGAGCTGCTATCTGAAAGAAGCTGGCTCAACAGAAGGAGTATATACCAAGAAAATTATCTCTAAGTAGAGTTGTTTCTAGAGAAATAATCGGAATTATGGCCTAAGATGAAGTCTGGAAATGTGCAGAAGAGCGGAGTCAGGTTATTTCCAGTGAAACAGCACCCATTCCATCAGTTTCAAAAGGGCTTTTTTGAGGTCCTTGTTCCTCATGCTGTAGATGAGGGGGTTCACTGTTGGAGGCACCACTGAGTAAAGCAGTACCACCACCAGGTCCAGGGATGGGGAAGAGATGGAAGGGGGCTTCAGGTATGCAAACACTGCAGTGCTGATAAAAACGGAGACCACAGCCAGGTGAGGGAGGCACATAGAAAAGGCTTTGTGTCGTCCCTGCTGAGAGGGGATCCTCAGCACGGCCCTAAAGATCTGCACATAGGACAGCACAATGAAAATAAAACATCCAGAGATCACAAGCACACTAAACATAATAAGCCAAACCTCCCTTAGATAAATATCAGCACAGGAGAGTTTGAGGATCTGAGGGATTTCACAGAAGAACTGGTCTACAGCATTGCCCTTGCAGAGAGGGAGTGAAAATGTATTGACAGTGTGCAGGAGAGAATAGAGGAACCCACTGCCCCAGGCAGCTGCTGCCATGTGGACACAAGCTTTGCTGCCCAGGAGGGGCCCGTAGTGCAGGGGTTTGCAGATGGCAACGTAGCGGTCATAGGCCATGACAGTGAGAAGAGACAGTTCTGCTGAAATGAAAAACAAAAAGAGAAATACTTGGGCAGCACATCCTGCATAGGAGATATCCCTGGTGTCCCAGAGGGAGTTGGCCATGGCTTTGGGAACAGTGGTGGAGATGGAGCCCAGGTCAAGGAGGGAGAGGTTGAGGAGGAAGAAGTACATGGGGGTGTGGAGGCGGTGATCACAGGCTATGGTGGTGATGATAAGGCCGTTGCCCAGGAGGGCAGCCAGGTAGATGCCCAGGAAGAGCCCGAAGTGCACGAGCTGCAGCTCCCGTGTGTCTGCAAATGCCAGGAGGAGGAAGTGGGTGATGGAGCTGCTATTGAACATTTGTTCCCTCTGGGCACAGGATCTGCAGAAGGAGGTGAAGGAAGTGAGAACTTAGGGAAGACAAAAATCTATTGATAAGAATCTATTCAATTTCTTATAGAAACTCCCAAAACCGCCTATCCCTTTTCACAATGACCTTCAGTGACCCCATGGAGCAGGAGGCTCTGTAGAAGTCAGTCCTGCCCTACAACTATAGGTAAAGAAGACCTCAGGGTGATCTCAGATTAAATTCTCTCATGATATCAAAGAGCTTTTCAGCACTGTCGCTCCTAATTCACATGACTGCAGAGCAGAGCTGTGGGGATTTTGCTTTTTGTCTTCTCTTCCAGTTGCCCCACCACAGCTGAAGGGAGGCTTTCACGCAAAAATCCCTGGCATTTCCTCTGCACTGCCAGGGAAATCTTGTGTGTGCTGAGAGGCAAAGGGACTGTCCCTTAGTGCAGAGGGGGAACAGCCGCTCTGTCCATCAGCCCTGGTCTCAGCTGCCCTGTGCTGGCAGCTCTTGCAGCTCCAGAACCATCACACTCAGGGGTTCCCCTCAAAAGAAACAGGGCACTGCCGAGAGCACAGGAATCCAATTTCCAAGTGCAGATCTCCTAACACCTCAGTCCATCGCACTTGAGGAGGAGCTCAGCTCTGCCCTCCCAATCAAGGACACCGAGGGCTCATGGCAGCTGCCAACCTACAGCCACCCAGCAGCATTTCCGTGGCCTCAGCACTAGGGTTCTTCTCCAGGGGGCTCCTGCATAACGTAGAGATGCCACAGGAGAACTTTACCCTCCTGAAGGGGAGCCTGCAGCCCAGCAGGACCTCCCAAGGAAAGAGTCCCATCTCCTCCCTTTGTTACAGCCTGAAGAGAAGTTGAGATCCCTGCCAGCTGCACACACCGCAGTACCCAGAGCCCCAAAGGTTCACAAGGGGCAAGTGGGATGCTTTTCCTACATGGACAGACATGTATGGCACTGCACACAGCGTTGGTGTCTGAGCTGCGCTTGAATCCTCACTGCCTCCCCCAACCAGGGATTGTAATAGTAAGAGCAAGGGCGGCAGGGAGAAGAGGAGAAGATGCCCAAGGACCCCTTTTCAAGGGAGGCAGGAGAGGGAGACCCAGTCAGACACGGGAGTTTTTCTCCTCTGTGGTGGTCAGGCTGCTGGGCAGGAAACTCCTGGCCAAGTCTCCATGACACTGAGGACAGAGCCTCTGCTGTGTGAGTGAGGAGAGCAGGGGGTGGCTCTAGGGAAAGCATCTGCTCTGCAGGGGATGGCAGGGAGATGCCTGAATCCCCCCTCCCATGGCATCTCTGGCAGCAGTTCTCTCTTTCTTCCTGCCCATGGCTCTGCTGCCTGGAACTCTTCTTGGCCAGGACCTGTTTCTCTGTCCCCACGTCTCCTGCCTCTGCATGCTCGCAGTCCCCATCCCTCCTGCTGTGTGCTCAGCTCTGCCCTGCAGACCCCTCCTGGCAGCAGGGCACTGCCCAGAGATATCTCTGTGTGTGCAGAGGGGAAGGAGCAGCTCAGACAAGTGCTAATGAGAACTGGGGTCTCATTGCCTGCTCCAGAGCACAGAACTAAATTCCCATCTCCCACTGCCCACCCAGCCTACCAAGAGAAAACTGAAAGCACAGACAGATTTCTAGTCTTTCAGGGAATGCCCTACCTTAACATCCATCTCTAAAATGACTAATCTGCAAATGTCCACTTGGTGATGTTGAAATCTGAGCAGCCTTTGCCCATGCTGCACCCTCTGGAGAGCAGAAGGATCCTGCCCTGCCAGGGGTCACTCCTTCCACACACAGACTCCACCCACAGCGTTCTTGGGAGCTCCCCGGGCAGGCTGAGTGCTGGCCCTGGCAGGCGGCAGAGTCCCTGCCCTGGTACACAGACCCCTGTGTCACTGAGACCCTGCTCGGAAGAACAGCCCTGGGCAGCCCTGTCTGCACACCCTTCTTCAAGTCCCTGGAGCCATCCCCGGGAGAAGGCAGCCGTCATGCCCTGTCCTTCTGATGCTGCAGCAGGGAAGCCCTGCTCTGCAGCACATCCTCCTTCTCTACAATGGAGAATATGCGAGGATCCTTCTGAAAGACCATACCTGCTGCGAGCTATACCAGCCTTTGGATAGCCCTCCAGGAATACCAGCTACAGTGTCTGCACCCAGAGATGTACCCTGAGAGGTCTGTGAAGATTTCTCCCCCAGTGAGCTCACAGCATTCTGCCACCCCAAACAGACTGTAACATCTCTCCTACTTCTCTCCTCTCCCATCAGTGCTTGCAGGCATCACCCTCAGCCTGGCTGCGCTTTGCAGAGGAGCTGCTCCCGGGCAGAGCTGTCTCTCTGCAGCGCTGCCCACTTGCCATCAGCTCCCTCCATCCCAGGAGCCCAGCCCAGCTCAGCAGCAGAGGACCAGCCCAAAGCAGCACTTGCTCTGCCTCCTCGGGGCTCCCTCCAGGTGTCCCTGGGGCTCCAGGGGAACCTGCTGTGACACAGGCTGAAGTCATCCCTGATGTTCCCTCCCTCTGCCAGGGTGAGACACTTCTTTCCAGCAGTGTCATTGCTCCTTTTAGAAAAATAGTTCGGCATGAGAATCCCTTTTTTTTAATTTTTGCCCAACAATAGGCAGGGCACCAGGAAGGTGACAAGGCAAGACCTAAGCTCTCCAGGCTGTGAGGATGTGTTCAGTTGAGTGAATTCAGGCATTTCATCCTGGGTCTTTAGACCTGGGCCTAGAAAGACATGCATGTCTCTTTTGGCCATGCCGTGTCTCTGCTATGAAGCAAAGCCTTTGCACACACGGGGTCATGGATGCTCGGTACCAGGTTCCCTATGGCAAGTCAAAGCTGGGCTGGTTCCACAGCTGCAGGGCTTCAGCCCAAAGGTGCAGCAATGCCCTCAGCCAGGGGCACAGGTGGGAAGAGCTGGAGCCATTCCTGAGGAGACAGAGCTGTGACATGGGTGCATAGCCCAGACGACAGCAGCCTCCAAGCTCAGCAAGGGTCCAGATCAAAACTCTGACCTTGAAAGGGAATTGAAGGGCACCACAATGAGTGTGTTCTACTGCAGGAGCAGTTAAGGGAGAAACACGGATACTGCGTGGCCACTGCTGAATTTAGGAAGAGCCAGTGTAGACAGATCTGAGCTTCTCTGTGTCCTCGTTGCCTCAGTCTCTCCCAGCAAGGCCTCCCAGGCCTCTGTGACTCAGGGCAGGACTCTGGAGGAGATCAGCCAGCGGTGGATGGGGATCAAGTCAGGGATCACTTGAACAAATGCAATCCTCACCAGTCTCTGGGAGAGGAGGGGCAGCATCCCAGGGAGCTGAGTGAGCAGGCCAATGTCACAGTGAAGCCACTCTCCATCGCCTTTGAAAGGTCATGGAATCTGTGAGAACTCCCTGACAATGGGGAAATTGCATAGACATGGTCAGGGCTGCAGTGCTTGCTTTGTTAAGAGGGACTGAGGGAGCTGGACTTCTCACCCTGCAGAATTAAGGGATATGATGGGGAGGAGGCAACAGACTCCTACTGCCTACGGTGAGGTTTCCAAGAAGACACAGTGGTGCAAGGCAGGAGCACAGGAGGCAATGGACTGAAACACAAGAGAGTCAGGCTCAATATAGGGAGAAACTCTTGCAATGGGAGGACAGTCAGACATGGGAAGCTGTTTCCTGAAGAGTGTGCACTGCCTCTACCCCTGCAAGTTTCTCAGACCCATCTGGATCAAACCATGAGGGACCTGGTGTGATTTGCTTTGAGCTGGATGGCTTCTACAGATATGTAGGAATGTCCCTGCAAGCCTGAATGCCACTCCCATTCCTCACCCTTCATGTCCTCAACATCACGGAAAGTGCTCAGGTTCCCTCTGGCTGTGGAAATAATTCACATCATGTACAGGGCTGAATCACAGGCACCCCAAACAGACCCCAGGACATCCCTGGCCTCATCCTTAATTTACTGATTCCCTCTTCCCCCTCTCAAATTCTTCACGATTATCATTCTCATACCTTCCAAAACGTCCAGCCTACCCTGGCTGGCTGGGATGGAGTTAACTGTCTTCTTAGCAGCCCATGCGGTTCCATGGTTTGGATTTGTGACCAAAACTATTTTAGCTATCACTGAACATGAAGCAACACAAAGGCCTCCTCTGTTTCTCACGCTGCCCTTCCAATGATCAGGCTGGAGGTGGGCAAGAAGTTGGTAAGGGACACAGCCAGGACAGCTGACCAGAGAAAACAAAGGGATAGACCATATCATAGGGGATGTTTGTGGTTATGTCATTTGTCTTCCCAAGTCCCTGTCATGCGTGACGAAGGCCTGGAAGCTTTCCTGGAAATGGCTGAACATTTCCCTGGCAATTGGATGTATTGAGTTAATTCCTTTTTTGCTTCACTTGTTAACCTTTCTTAGTTTCAACCCATGAGTTTTTTTCTCACTTTTTCCTTTCCAATTCTCTTCCCCATGCTGCTGTTGGGGGAGTGAGCATGTGCCTGGATGGCTAATTTGTTACCAGCTGGGGTCAATCAACCTTTTCACATTGGCCAT